AGGAGAGACAGTCGGTCTCCCTTCACGGAGGCTGGAAGTATGTATGGGAGAGGAACTTGCTACCCCCTCTCCCCAGCGGCAGATTATCAATGTGCAGGGAATAGAGAGCCCAGTCTCCTTTCCCCAGCGGCAGAGTGTTCTATCGGGAGAGGAGCCTGTTAACTCCTCTCCCCAGCCACAGTTTAGTGTACAAGGGGGAGACTGTAATATTTTATTTAGTTTTGTAAAATGCTTCCAAAATTAAACAGAATAACAAAATAAATAACAAAATAACAATAATAAACAATCAACTGAAATAATACCCAATTCAAACATAATACCAAATGAAACATAAATACCCCAAAATTAAACATAAATACCGAAATAAAAACTCAGGAAGGGGCACTAATAGGGGAGTAAACTTATACCAAATTAAATAACTGGGAATAACAGGGAGAGGGATTAACAGAAAAGGGGGGGGAACTAAATCATAAGGGGATAAATTAAAAGGCGGGGGGCTCCATTACTTCATGGAGCCTTGGGGAGGGAGAAAAAAGGCTGAAATGCTCCTGAAGGAGCTCTTACATAACAAGGGGGGGACAAGGGGGGACCCAATTGACCTCGAGTCCACAGCCAGCTAAACACAAACATAAACCAAGCGTGAAATAAAATACACACATAAACAAACCCATTACCCACATGGAGTCCTTTTCTCAGTTCATAAAACCCACCAACCACATGGAGTCCATCCCTCCGTCCATCAACACCAACACTTTAAACCCAAACTTTAAACCCAAACCCACCACCCAAATGGAGTCCATTTTCAATTCATAAAACCCACCACCCTCATGGAGTCTATCCCTCCGTCCATCCCCCAAACCCACCACCCAAATGGAGTCCTTTTCTCAGTTCATCACATCCAAACCCACCACCCACATGAAATCAAAATTTTGTCCATAGACCCACCACCCACATGAAATCCAGTTTGTACACCACCCTCAAGGAGTCCATCCCTCCGTCCATAAAGAAACCCAGTGTGTTTTTTTTTTCCCACCCAAAGTAAATTTTTCAATTTGTCCATACACCAGAAACCCACCCTAACCCAAACAATACCAAAAATAACCTGTGCATAACCATAACCATAACCTAACTACACTGCACTACCTAGACGCAGAGGAAGGTACTCGTCTGCTAAAGGTGGCAGCCTTCCATGAAAAGAAAAACCAGTTAAAAATCTACGGGGGAAAGGTAAAGACAGATTTGGAATTCCCTTCACCAAGACAAGGGCGCCCATGGAGCGGTTCAAGGCGGGTGGACCTTGAGATTTCGCCACAAACGCTGCCAAATGGTGGGATCCATAGAGGCCCTTTCGGTGGTATAGATCCCACGAACCGCCCTCAGAATGTCTGCTACCACCACCTGACAGGAAAGGTCTTTACGTTGAAGGGAAACCTGACACCTTGCCATCCAAGTGAAATACTTAACCACTGAACTGACTACATAAAGAGTGCCCAAATCAAAAGCCCTCCCCCTTGAGTTGGACGTCCCGTACGCCCACTCCGCATAAGTCCAGCGGGATAAGCAGGGGACGCCTAAGGCGGCTGAGACCTCTTTGTAGACCTGTACGTTAAAGGGGCACTCGAGGAGGAAGTGGTCCATGGACTCCACTTCCCCGGAACATTCCACCCGAGGACAACCACGATCCGTTATGCTCCTGTACTTCAAGTTCCCTCGAACGTAAAGTCTACCGTGGAAGGAGAAAAACGCCACGTCTCGGTATTTCTCCGGAAGGCGCCTGGAGTTGATGTTTTTCAACCCCGAGGCGAGAGTACTTGGCGGGCAGTCCTTCAAAGCAAGCTGAATGCCAAAGTGGGTGGCCAGGACCCTCCCGTCGAGAAGCTTCTTGGGAGTGTCCCGAACCTCCTCCACCGTGACGTTCCACCTGCGCAGAATTCCCACTCCCTCGATGACCGAAGACGGAAGATAGCTAGAATGCCGAACTCTCATGCTCTTCACCCTCCCACCCTGAAACCAGTCCACCAGGAAAGGTGTGACCCACTCCCTGAATATACATACCCAGCCAGGCTGCTCATCCTTCAGGAGAGCCCCAAAGTTCCTTTTCAGGAAGTTGTTAGTTAAAAAGACGATGGGGTTGACCATGGCCAGACCCCCGTCCTTTCTGGCCAGGTAAGTGACCTCTCTTTTGATGAGGTTCAGCCTGTTCCCCCACAACATGCGGAAGAACAGCGCAAACATCCGAGCGTGGAGGGACCTGGGCAAAAGGAAGATGTTACTGACGTAGCCGAATACGGTCAGAACATAGGTTTTGATTAGGTTCACCCGTTCTCTGAACGTCAGTTTCCACCTGTGGCTCTCCTCCACCTTGCTAGAAGCTATGGCAAGCCGTTCGGTCCAGTTCCTGAGAGCCAGATCCCCTGGTCCGAACACCACCCCCAAGATCTTAATTTCAGGCTGGGCCCTCGGGAAACCGTCTGGAAGAGGGAACTGGTCCCCCTCCTTCCCGCACCAGAAAACTACGCTCTTGTCCCTGTTGACACGAGAGGCTGAAGCGGCAGAATACGCTAGGATTAAATCATCCACCTCCGTGGCCTCCCGAGTATTGGAGACCACTATGGAGATGTCATCAGCGTAGGCAACAACCCGTAAAGGCCTCTCCGGAGCCCTGGCCACTCCCTGTAACGTGCCTGCCTCGACCCTTCGGATGAAGGGATCAACTGCAAACACGTACAAGAGTGGGCTGAGAGGACAGCCTTGCCTGACCCCAGATCGGATCCTAAACGTCCTGCCCCTCCACCCGTTCACAAGAGCGAAGCTTTCGGCCCCTCTGTACAAGGTGATTATCCAATTGACGAATTTTCCCGGCAAGCCATACTTCCGCAAGACTGACCACAGATAACGGTGATCTACTCGATCAAAAGCTTTGGACTGATCAAGTGCCAGAAGGTATATCCCCCTTTCTCCGTCCCTGCACTTCTCGAGGGCTTCCCTGACTTCGAAAACGGCATCAAAGACAGTTCTGCCCTCGATTGAACAGTACTGGGAGGTGGATAGGACACGCCTCGCTAGGCCCTGTACTCGTTTCATCAAAATCTTTGCCAGGACCTTCCTGTCGACATTTAACAGGGATATGGGGCGCCAGTTCCCCACATCCGCTGTGTCGAGCACGTTCGGCTTGGACAGCAAGATCAGGGCAGAAGTCCTCATCGAGGGTGGCAATAATCCTTGAGCCAAGCTCTCATTAAACACCTCGGTCAGATGAGGGGCCAAGAGGTCGCAGAACTGTTGGTAAAACTCGGCCGTCAGACCATCAGGACCTGGCGACTTACACTTGTTCTGCTGTTGGATACTCTCTGTGACCTCTTCTATGGTGATCTCGCTGACCAACTCGTCAAAAGAGAGGTCGCTATGCTCAGGGAGCGTGAGCTCGCTCAAGAAGTCATCCACCCTTCTCCCGTGGGAGGTTCCCTCCTCGCTACATTGGGGGCTGCCCTTTCCGAGGAGCTCAATATAGTAGTCGCGGACCACCTTCAGAATCCCGCGAGGAGACTCCTCTAGGGTCCCGTCGGTGCCCCGCAGACTAGGGATGGACTTGGTACCTTCCTTCCGCTTGCAGCTAAGATAAGGATCGGGCGAGCGGTATGACCCATGATCCCTCTCTTTTACAAGGGAGGCGTACCTGTCATACTGATAACTCCTCATCAGGTTTTTAACTGCCGCAATGTCCTCGGGGTCACCTCCCTGCGAGATCAGGATGTCTAACCTCCCAAGCAAGCCCAGATACATCTTGTACCTGGAGGACTGCATGTTCCGGGCGAGATTGCGAAACAGCCGTTGAGTTCTGGCCTTCACCATCTCCCACCACTCAGACTTCGTTTGGCCTAAGTCGGCCAATGTCATCTGATCGTGAAAGAATTCCATGAAGGCTTGCTGAACCCTCTGTTCCACCAGGAGGTCTGAATTTAGCCGCCAGATCCCTCTACCCTTAGGTGGGGTACTATAGACGTTCAACTCGCAAGACAAAATGTGATGGTCGGAGAACTCCACCGGTGTAAGCACGGGTGCCGCCACCGGGAAATTCTCCTTAAAGAAAAACCTATCTATCCTACTCTGACAGCTACCTCTGTGATAAGTGTACCCACCCGTGGGATTGGGAGTGTGATGAAGGTACACATCGACCAATCCAGCCTGACTAACCATCTTATTTAAAAAATAGGAGTCATACCCCAGCCTCTGAGTGGCGTCTCTCCTGTCTTGAGGCCTAGTTATGGTGTTAAAGTCACCGCCAAACAGGATTTGCTGGGATGTATAAAGGTAAGGCTCTATCTCAATAAACAGGCGCTTCCTCTCCCACTTAGATTGGGGGCCATAGATATTAATTATCCTGAAAGGTTGCCTGCCCATTGAGACATCTAAAACCACACACCGTCCTTTTTGCAACTCAATAACCCTGTTGATGCTAACATCAACGTCCTTAAATAGGATGGCGATTCCCCCATATCTCTCTGTGGCTAGAGAGAAGTAGGAGGGCCCCCATCTCCAGTCCCGCTTTGCAGCGTGCAGGGCCGCGAGGGTTTCCAGCCGGGTCTCCTGTACCAAGATGACATTGTACGGAGCCCGGCTGAGGTGGTCGTAAACCAAAAAGCGGGCCCTGCTGGACTTAATGCTGTTTACATTCACCGTAGCCACAGAGAGTACAGGAAAAGTCGCCATAAGGGCATTAAGTATAAGGAGACTTTCCCTTCCTTCTGCGGTACCCCTCCTCCTCCGTGTCGGAACCGAGGAACCTCTTCACTGAGACTCCAGGATACAGTGGCCCGTCGTCTCTCAGAAGCACCTCCTGTCCCACCTCAACCCTTGCCACCACCTCGGGGAGGTTCGCCATCTCCTCCTCGTACTCACAGTCGGCCCAGCTGGAGGACAGTGCCTCGTACCTGTTAGATACGGGCACCGGGGCCTCCTGCAAGCCCGAAGAGGAGGATGACGCCCGTGCCACACCACCCTTATAAGTGGATCTCCCCCTTTCGGGGGTTTCGCCGCAGGGGGTATGGCGATCTTCCGGGGTGAGGGCAGCGTCGAGGTCTTGGAGGGGGGGGTTTCTTACCTTTCACCGTGCTCCACTCTAGGGACTGTGCATCTAAGGGACGTGCATCTGGGGATTTTTCAGTGGGGGTAACCTTCACCGTGGAGAATTTAGGAGGGGGGGGCCTAGGGGGAGGGGGTCTAGGGGGAGCCATAATGGCTGTGGAGGTAGTGCGCTCTCTACGTACACTTTTCGTGAGGGGACGTGAACTTGTGGCCTTCCCAGGGTCCTGAGATGTTACAGAGACAGAGGGGAGGATGGGTTGTTGCTGGGGCAGGTAAACCCTTGTGCCAGAGATGGGCCTTGTAGATGACGATGCTACCTGAACCCCTAACCCAGCAGAGTCCATCTCCACCGGCTCCTGACTCCAGATGGACTCTACATTGTGCTGGGCTTCGGGGCAGGTGCGGTACGTGTGACCCATCTCTGAACACAGATGACACCGGTCTCCCTGCAGCTGTCCCGGAGGTGCCCCACAGCGCCGCACATAGTGCATTTGAGGACCGTACAGGCATTGCTGTAGTGCCTGTACGATCCGCACTTGTGACATACCCTGGGCTGACCAGGGTAAAAACAGGATACCCGGTCAGCCCCGATGAAAAAACTATTAGGCATATGCTGTGTGACACCTCGAATCTCCCGCAGCAACACTGAAACAGTCCATCCGCCTGTCCAAATCCCATCCTCATCTAAGATATTAACAGGGGGGGATTTAACATCCCCAAACCTCTTAGTCCAAACAAGGATGTCTGCTATGGGGATGGATTCATTTCTCACCAGGAAAGTGACCTTCTTAAGACCCTGGCGAGAAATGGCCACAGCGGTGAATCCTGCCCACTTTGTACCCTGTGCAGACCTGGCCGCTTCCCACCCAGCCCAGAAGCGATCCAGTTGCTGCGACGTCATAAAGGAGACGTCGAACTCCCGGGTGCCCGAGGCATGGATGAGCGCGTACAGGTCCACGGGCGCAAATCCCATATCCTTTAGCCGGGTCACCAGCCACCGTCTGTCAGGCACCTGGGTCTCACCCCCACAGATGAGAAGTACCACGTTCCTCCTGTTCCCAAAGGAAACCTGAGGACGCGTAGCAGGCCCGTCCGCAGAGAGGCGAGGTGGCCCAGATGCCCAAGCATTGGGCGCACCGGGACCCGCCGTCTGGGAATGATTCGGACGGACTCCCCTCGCTGAACCAGAGGCCTCGGTCACACCAGAACCCTGGGTGACAACCTGGGAGTGCCTAAGGGGAACCCGTGTACATGCTTGTGCGTCTAAACTATTTATAACCGCTGCACCCTTTGTCAGGGTGCCTGTGCCCGTGCTCGTGCCCGACACCTGTGTACCAACTAACTCCAGTGAACCAGGGGCAGGGGCAACATAACCTGAGGCGGGGCAACATAACCAGGGGCAGGGGAAACAGTACCAGGGGCAGGGGCAATAGTACCGGGGGCGGGGGCAACATAACCAGAGGCAGGGGCAACAACACCAGGGGCAGGGGCAACAACACCAGGGGCAATAGTACCGGGGGCAGGGGCAACAACACCAGGGGCAGGGGTAACAACGCCAGGGGCAGGGGCAACAACACCAGGGGCAGGGGCAACAACACCAGGGGCAGGGGCAACATCATTAATACAAACAGGCTGGCTGTGGACCTTTTTACTAAGGCCAATAGGTCCCATCATTACATTTACAGTTACATCCATACTCCCATCCTCCTCAGCCATCCCTAAACCACCAGTGGAGTCAAACACAATGTTAGTCATACTTTTCTTACCTCCACTGGCGGTTTCCTCAGTATGGACTGCTGGCTGAGGATGATGGGAGTCCCCTGCAGTCCTGTCTTCCATAGCGCCAGCGGCACCCGCGGCACCAGGAACAACAGGAACAACAGGGGGACTGGTTACACATGCAGACATAAGGGGAACACATAGGGAAGCAGGGGGAACAGACTGGAAGACAAACAGGGGAGGAGACTTGCTGGTAGGGGAGAGCAGTCGAGCTTGCTCCAAGGGAGCAGAGGGAAAAGGAGGGCCATCACCCTGCTCCAGACTGCTCCATCCAGTGCCATCCTGCCCAGCAGCCGTCTGAGGACAGGAGGCAGAGGTACCAGCCACTCCAGGGGACGCAACCACACGGAGAGGAAGGTCAGAGGGAAGGCAGGTAAGGGAGGGAGTGGGAAGGGAGCAAGGGAAGGACCCCTCCATGGGATCACCAGTACACGCCATAGTACCGGCGGGGATGGTCTCCCTGTCACCATGGAGGGCGGCGGGGGGCCCAGATACTTCCACAGAGGCAGGTTGTGCAGGTTTCTGGGGCATACAGGTGTTGCCACCTGCAGGGTTAGTATCCCTGGCCCCAGGCTTCTGCAAGGCCTGAACATCATCATTGTACATATACTCAGCATTTGAGCACTCACCCTCCTCTGTGGAATCTCCAGACCCCCTGACAGAGGTCTCAGGCTGACGCCGGGCGATGTTTTTCTTTTTCTTCTTTTTGTCCTTTACGGAGTCCTCCCCAAGTTCGTTTCCAAACTTGAGGAGAGACTCCTTAATCAGCCCTCGACCTCTGTCCTGCACTTTCAGCTGCCACTCTTCACCTTTCTCTCCGTCCCACTCCTCTTCACTGTCCTTCTCTCTGGCCTTCCCCTCCGTCTCAGCAGCGCCCCCTGGAGTAGCAAGGGCAGAGGTAGACGGCTCCCCAGGTGAGTGATGGGAGTTGGAATCCAAGTCCTTGCTGGACTCCTCACCTGGGGACATGTCCCTCCTGCCCTCCATAGCCCTCTGCCTCCTGGACCTCGCAGCGTCCTTGGCTCTCTGTTGCAGGATGGCCTGGATGTCTGCTATTTTCTTTTCAGTCTGGAGCAGGGTGTAGGATAGATGCTGCTCCACTAATTATTTCTCAGCTATAGCGGCCCTCAAAGGACCTCTTTTGTAATTAGAGGTCCTGTTTGATTTTTCCCTCTGCTCCCTTAGCTCTGCCTGGACCCCAGCTAGGCCCGAGTCTGCCTCGGCATGCTGGGCCTTCAGGGACACAAGCAGACCCCGGAGCCTGTCAGAAGGTAGCCCCATAAAGACCCTAGCCTCAGCATAGGTGAGGGAGGCCTGAGGGGCCTTGCTGGCACTAGCCACCTCAGGGGGGGTCTCAGGGACTACCTCCTCCTCGGTACCCTCTCCCACCTCCAGGGACGGGGGGGGCTGTTCTAGGAAGTGGAGGCCACTGCTGGCAAGTTCATGGCACTCAGCCAGCAGCCCAGAGAGCAGCTGGATATCGGCCCTGGTGTGGGCCGTAGCTCCCTGGGGGACCCCCACTTCCCTTTTCCATGCTGTAAGCTTCCTAGACATCCCCCCCGCCAGTTCCTCCAACAGGGAGACCTGGTTTCGTATTTGCCGGGAGAGGGCCTGATGCTCAGTCCAAGACAGGCCCCTGGTATCCGCCTTACCTTGCCCAAAAGCCAGCACTGCCTGCAGCTCGTCCAGCCTGACCTTCCATCCCCAGGCTGGGGAGGAAGGCCCGAGGGCCATGCTTGCCTAGGCCCAGGCAGAGCCCCTTGCTGTAGTAATTCCAAAGCCCAGAAATCGAGCTCCAAAAGCAGCCACAAACGGGTGTGGTCCTGGGAACACACAGATGAAGCACAGAGCAGCTCACTCTCCAGCAGTAACGGAAAACTCCTCCCACTCCAGTGGGAGGGGAGACTGTAAGCCCCACACCTGTGCAGATGGGACCGTGGTCTCTGCACTCCCAGCACAGGTGGTAGGGACGGTCGGTCTTGCCCCCCCACGACATGGCTGTTTAGCCAAAGGGGAGACAGTCGGTCTACAGCAGCCGAGCTGTGTAACTAAAGGGGAGACAGTCGGTCTCCAGCAGCAGAGCGGTGTGTTTAAAGGGGAGACAGTCGGTCTCCAGCAACCAGGCTTCAACCAGACTACTCCTGTGGTAGTGCTGGCATCAGGGCAGAGTACCGCTGGTTTCTGCCCACTCAGCAACCCACAAAAGCAGCCCCCAGTCACCCACACAGCCGTGGTGAGGCACCTGGACATGGACAAGTTTCTCCTCTACCCAGGTGTAGTAACCAGTTATTGTGGGTGGGCTGTACTGCTGTTTCTGTTTTGTGGGTGGGTTGCTGGATTAACAAGGGCACTGACCGGCAGGAGGTCAGATACCCTGTTAGTCTGTTTGGAAAAGGGGAGAGATGTGACGAGAGCAATCTTGCCACATTGCATTGGAGAAGCCTGGCTGCCTGCTTGCTGCCTTTGGACTATGGACCAGACTTTATGTAAATGTGTTAACCCAGATAGCTATGCCATGGAGCCCATTCGTGTAGTTAAAGACTTCGGCTCCATGGCAATTGAACTGTGTGAATAGGATTGGAGCGCTATTCGGTAGTTTTGTGCGCTCAGATCCCAGCTATCTGGGATACGTGAAATGTCGGTGTGTTATGTGTAAAAGGTGACTTTATGTATTTTAAAGTGTTTTACGTCTTTTTGCAACCATGTGTTCAATGGAGTCTGCCTCTATCCCTGGATAATTGGATTACTTTTCCCCATTGTGCCAGCCAGGGTCCAAAAGATACTTTTACTAACTTTTGAACCCCTGGTCTGATTCATGCCATTTTTTAATATGTTGTTCCCCTGAATGGATTGATTGTGAATATGTAATTTTATGTGAATGTGATATATGGTTTTAGAGTTATGAAAGTTGGGTAGAAAGTATGTTTTAACTGTATGTGTAATTGAGTTTCCTCTCAGGATAAGGGGAGGGAATATGTGGGATGTAACTGATATGTGATTAACCATGTGTTTTATACCTCCCTGTGGGCGGTCCTGTATATGAAAGGCTGTAATAAAAACCAGGCAGGGTGTGCCAGCACCTCAGACCACTGCTTGACCCTCAACACGGAGCCTTGTCTCGTTCTTGGGGGGATTCACTGTATGCTTTTAGAGACTGATTGCCAGGAGTGTTAGCTGATTGTCTGCTTTTCCTGTTCGTCTGCTAGCAGCTATTTGGGAGGTTCCAGTTCGGGAGTTGGAGTGCTATTTTGTATCCAGTTTGGGAGTTTGGTGTTCTGCAGTAGCTGTGCCTGTATCTCTGGAAAGGGGGCCGATCGCCTAAACGGTTTTTACCCCTCGTGTGCTGAAACGGTCCGTTACAACCATTATGGAGTCAATAAGATTTTTTGTTTTTTTCTTTTCTGGCATTATTGGAAATGGCTACAATTGGGAATTTTGCCTTCTTTTGGATTATCGGCATAAAATAATGGATTTCAAGGTTGAACTTAAAGGACCATTATAGTGCCAGGAAAAGAAACTTGTTTTCCTGGCACAATGTAGTCCTTAGGTCCCCCCCCCCTCCTGCTAGGCTCCTCCTCCTCCTTTAACGTACTTTAGTCTTTCTTAACCTAGACCGCTATCTATCTAACTGGTAATTTTGCT